CATTAGTTTCTGAGGATTGGCATAAGATCTTCTTTAATGGAATACGACATCCTTCCACTCTAATTCTCCCCGACTAGTTCATGAAGTGGAAGTAAGACCCCCTTAGTTTGATTAAGCGAAACTCTACAGACTAGTTAATTTATCTTGAAGCAGCTCTTGCTTAAAGAACCCACTGTAAAGCTTTTGTCTACTTAACCAAATGACAATGAACAAATGCAGCAACAACATCTACAATCAAATTCAACTTGATCTTCCTAGGACATCTTTGGTTCTAAGAATCCCCATTGACAAATTTGACTCAAATCTAGTCTTCCATGGAAAGCCTTTTGTTCTAGGATTCCCCGGAGAAGAGCTTAACCTCTGAAATACTAGGACGACTTGCAAACCTCATTGGCCAGTTCGGTCAATACCAATTTGTGCCACATACCTATTGGGTACACCACACATATTGGAGGTCCATATGTTGACCTGACCTTTGTGAATACCTCCTCTCTCTCTATATAAACCTAGGGTTTAGTCTTAGGGCATCCTAGTGACCTTCTTAGATAACTAGAGACGGGACTTACCCATATAAAACTTCTATCCAATCCTACACTCACTTAGGGTTTCCTGAGGCTAAGCCAAATCCTCAAGCCTTGGTTGAGATGATTAAGGGTCTAGCCCAATGGAAGCCCAGGTTGACTTACTATAGGTGGAAGATGCTCCAGGCTACCTACGAAACTCAAAACTCTAGGAATTCCCCTAAGGATACATTGAATATCCCTATGATTCTAATTGACTTAGGAAAAGCCCACCAGACATGAGGCAAGGCTTAGGCCAATGATGAGTTCTTACTACCTTACCCTACAAGGCCCTAAAAGTCCTAAACATCAAAATTGAAAGGGAGAGGAGCGATTCACCAAAATCAACCATTGGTCTCACCTAAAGCCTTCCCAACACCATTTAACCCTAAAATCCCCAAACACATCAATTTAGCCCCAAGAAATTGAAATTACCAAGAGTCCAATTTGGCCCAAATCAACTTGAGTCAATCATGGAACAATTGAGCTCATCTCAATAAAGCTTAATTTGGGTCAAGGTGATTAAGACCTAAAACCACTTAGGGATCAAATTTGCACTAGAGAGGCGCCCTTTATAATTAACCTAATTATTTAATTAAGCTAATTATAAGGGCCCATCAAACTTAAACTTATGGGCTAAACCTAAACACATTTAGGCTAACCCTAAACCCAAAAACTCAAGATTTCATAAAGGAGCCCATGACCCTTCTCCATGGGTTATTCATGAAACTTATGACACAAACATGACCCTAATGACCCACCATGACACATGGATGACACAAAAGATTAAAATAAATTAATCTAACCTAAATCCAAACTTTGAAAGACAACCTTTGCACATTTAACAAAAATGCCACCACATGGCACCTAGGTTTAACCCACCCAAATCACTTCATAGGTGGGTCAAACCAAACTATTCTTAAACCCAGCCACCACACCAAAAGCTCCCCCATTCCCCTCACACCCTGGGCATGGCACCTTCTTCCACATTGGAGCCTCCATGGTCAAAGAGCTTCAAAAATGGAGAAAGACACATTTACCTCTGCCCAACTCATTTCCATTCCTCTGCACATCCTCTAAGGATCAGCTAGACACTTCCATGCACACTGGAACTCCCCTCATGGCCTCTCATGGCTATAAAAGGAGTGAACCAGAGAACTCTACATGCACTAAACTCCCTAGTCAACCACCTAAACCTTCAGTCCTCAACAACAAAAACACTCCCACAAACCTGTGCAACTCTTCCCCACCAATCTCAGACCATCTTCACCACCACAAAGCCTTAATTTTATCACTGAAATTTAGGGTTTTTTACGGCCCTGACATCAACTCTACCAAAACTCCAAACTAAATCTCTAATAAGCTTCACAAGGTCACAAAACCTCTCCCTCAATCAAAACCTAAGCTTCTCGCACCCCCAACCCACATCAACACCAACCCGAGCCACAATTTGGTCTAGCTCATAGCTAGGACCAATTTCAAAGAAAATTAAAGCAAGGGGAAGTTGCATGGCATCAAGGCAATTGTCTTTGTCAAGCCCAATCGAGGCCCCACCTCTTGGGACAAGGTATGGATTCAAAATCCCTAAATTGGCTCTTGATTTAGTCTTTTATGAAGAAAATGAACAATGCAAGTCCACTTAACTGTATAGACAAGTTCCTCTCACCTAAATGAAGCTATTAAAACAAATCTCATGTGATTTTGTTGAGTATCGTGCAAGTTCGTAAGGTTTAATTGCGGATGACTCTTGGTTATCTATCCCGTGGGGACGATGAACAGATGTCGTCCGTTTCCGTGTATCAAATGGATGATGTTATCGCGTCGAGGCAGTGGATCATGCGGAATTGAACTTCAGACAGCGGACCACATCAATGCCCGCGTGTAAAGCTCAACGAATGTCGCCACAACGCGTGGGAACTCGACGCGTAGAAGGCTGGCACAACACCAACTTGGATAAGTAGAAAAATCTGGATTTTCTGAATTAAATAATTCCAGAAAATGCAACCCAACTTTAAGAATTCATAAAAATCTGACCTATGTCTAACCCAAATTAGACCTAACCTAACTCAACTCAAACTTAAATGTAATTTAGGTCTGACCTCACTTAGACCTAGCTCAACCTACGTGACTTCAAGCTCAACTTAAGTCTAGCTCAGTCTAAATCTAACTCAAACTAAATTCGACCTGAACTTAACTCAGGTCTAATCAAACCTAGACCTAGCCCGGTTCAAACTTTAACTCTAGTTTGAGTTAGGTATAACCCAACCTAAACCTGACTTAATTTGACTCAATTTTAAACCTATCTTAGGTCTAATCTAACTTAGACTTAACTAAATTAAGACTTGATTAAGGTCTAACCTAGATTAGGTCCAACTGAACTAAATCTAATCTTGGTCTAATGTAGATTGGATCTAAATCAACTAACACTTCTATTTCAGCCAGGTCCAACCCAACCTAGACCTAGGATCAACTCAATTCAAACCCTAAACACAACTTAGGTCTAATCTAATTTAGACCTAATTCAGTTAAACTCAACCTCGCTCAAGTCTACCCAACTTAGACTTGATCCAACTAAATTTTAAAGTTGGCCTAACTTCGATCTAACATGGCTTAGACCTAACTTGATTCAATCCTAAGCTTAAATCAAGTCTAACCTAACTTAGACTTGATTCAACTGAATCTCAATCTTAAGCTTAACTAAAGTCTAACTCAACTTAGACGATCTAACCAAACCCTAAAATTACAACCTACCTCAAGTCTAACCCAACTTAGAATTAACCCTAAATTACAACTTAACTCAAGTCTAACACAACTTAGACTTGACCCTAAATTACAACTTAACCCAAGTCTAATCCAACCTAGACTTCACTGAACCAAATCAACTCAAAATAATCCGAGGTCAACCCGACCTAACTCGGATTAGCCCAAACCAATTTAAGGTCAACCAAACCCAACTTATGTTAACCCAGATTAACTTTAACCGAACTCAGGTCAACTCGACTTGACTTGGGTTAACCCAAACCAATTTAAACTTAACTTTGCTCAACCTAAACCAACTTAAAGCAACCTTGGGCCAACTTGACCTAACTCGGGTTAGCCTGAACTGAACTCAGGTTAACCCAAATCAACTTAAACTAAACCTGGGTCAATCCGACTTAACTTGGGTTAACCCAAATCAACCTTGGATTTGCCTGACTTAATTTGGGTTAGCCCAAATTAACGTAAATCCATCTTAGGTCGGCCCGACCTAACTCGGGCTAACCCAAATCAACTTAACCCATTCTCGAGCCAACCCGACCTTACTCGAGCTAATCCAAACCAACTTAAATTAATCTTGGATCAATCCGACCTAACTCGAGTTAACCCAAACCAACTTATATCAATATTGGGTCAGCGGAGTGGGTCAGCTCCAGCTAACTCCGCTGACCCAAATCAACTTAAACTCATCTTGGACCAACCCGACCTAACTCGGGCTAACCCAAATCAACTTAAACCCATCTTAGATCAGCCAGGCCTAACTCAAGTTAATCGAAACCAACTTAAATCACTAATATTATTTTACTTTAATCCAAATAAAAAAACAATGTCATTCATTTTTTTCACACTAACTCAAATAACTCTAAATATTTTTAATACAATACATTCCTTCTATATATTATATTCATTTTACATTGCATTATTTTTTTTTTCGGCAAATCAGACGGCCTCTAAATGTCACTTGCACTCTTAAAATAACAGCTTATCAAGGGATGAAGATAGGAACAATGATCAACTCAATTAAGATTCTGTTATTCCATAATCAGCTTAGTAGGCCAAATCTAAAAATGACAGTGCTCCGAAACATGTTCATAATCGTGCCATTATATAACTTCGAAGCATCACAAGCATTGCCATCAACAAAAATCAATCTTTGTTTATCATTGATCAGAGGCAATGCACCACCATAAAAAAGCCAACTCTACACTCATCCAGCTGAGATTATTTACACTGAATATCTCAGAAAAGTTACAGCCCAATCAAGCTCTATGATCCTGCTACAATTTTCCTATAAATTTGCAAAATCAGATATCCTGACCTTGACTGAGGACTAACAAAATTTGCTTTAAAATATCTGAAAAACAAACTTCCCAAATGTAGGCTAAACTAGTCCTTCATGAAGACTGCTTCCACCCACATTAAAATAGTTTTGTGGATTAAATTGACAATCTTTTAGACGGACACTACAATGACCTCCTATAAAGAGTCGGGAGACTATTTTGACATTTTTCTCCACAAAAAAATTATATCACTGCACTATGCTTTTTAGTTTGGGAGTATTTACATATATAGCACACAATTCAAATGTATTTACATATCTCACACCTAAAGTTTCATATTCACATACATGATATTCAAATCTTTAATATCATGTAAAAAATAGTACTATTATTACTTTTTAAAAATGAAATACACATTTTCGTACAGTTTTAAAGTATCAAAATGATGTATTAGTAAATATGAAAGTTTAGGTGTGAGACATGTAAAACCATAAGAAATGTGTGCTACGCATGTAAATTTCCCTGAGAAGAAATGAGCAGTCCATAGAGATCAAATCTTTCGAGGTTTCATCGAATTATCTGCCACACGCTCAAAATTGGTCGTTGTTGAGCTCCGATATGCACGAAACCAGAGCATGTCTAACCTGTTGATTATCTGAATCCATGGAGAGAACTTCCTCGAAGAGGGACTTCGCTTGATACAGAAGCTTCGACTTCTCCCGGCTGTTCTTTCGACGGAGATGAGCTCGCTGCTGCAGTACCATGCCCCACCTATACAGAGCTGCATTTCCATGCATATCTTTAGGATAATTTTATATGGTTCATCACAAAATGAAAGGGAAACAAAAAAAAAGGAGCATTTAAATACATGCCGCCCAATTCTTATGTGTTTGCATATAGGACACCTAAATTTTTTTCTTTACATTGGCACAGCACAAATCTTTCATATCACATAAAAAAGACTGCTATTTTCACTTAAAAAAAAGTGAAATACACATTTTTCATGCATAAATAAGGTGGCGTGCATGTAAAAATAAAAGTTTAGGTGCTAGATTTGTAAATATTTATGATTGGAGTGGGGTATGTATGGAAATCTTTCAAAAAAGCAATCTAACGTGCATCTGTATATCTGAGGCAAATAAATGATTTAATAACAGAACCGAGAGAATGTTTAGATGCAAAGTAAATTAGGACATTTAAGCTGAGCAATTTGCACATATATCGGACAAATTCTAAAGCAGTTAGAATTAAATTAACATTTGTTTGTCACCAACAAATGCATATGACCAATCACAATTTTGACACAATTTTCTAATCTCAAAGAACCAGGAAAAAAACGAGAGAAAAAGCCCAAGAAAAACTTGAATTATGGAGGTCTAC